AACACGGATAATTCATTTTTTGTGAAATTGAAACGCGTACCTAAATTTTTTTCACAGCCCTACATAACAGGTGTGACAGTCGATAGAGCCGAACAAATCAAGCCAATAGATAAGAAACAAGAAAATACTACAAAAAAGTAACAAAAGGATGCTTAGCACGAGCACACAGAACAAATTCAAAGTGGCTTATGGGCTGCTGGTGGGCCATGAACGCCACCTCTAACACCACGAAACATTGTTGACCCGTCCCAGATAGATGGTACGTTGGCTTAACTGACCGCCGTTCCTGGAATGATCGAACTAGGCGGTGTAACCTCGCGACAGCAGTAATTTGCGATCGCATACTGCCTGCCGGAAAGCAAGGCTCCAAGGCATAATCATTTTGTCATTTTACGTTGATGACCAGTGACGCTATAATAGAACAGCGTCCCGTGCAGTGTGATTGCTAATCCTCAAACCATTTCTGTGCTGATGGTTGGCTTCAGAAAGGCGCAAAACGTAAATACTTACATTGTCGTAACTATTAGCTTTACGATCTGTTCGAAACCTGATCAGTGTATTGTACGACCGAAGAGAGTTATACTAGTCAGAAGATTGCGAGAGAAAAAAAAGTCGTCTATCACTGCAACCTACTAGTAGGAAACATCGCACGCACTCATTCGCCACAAAATTATTTCATTTGATTTGTAGTTAGTTGCGCAAAAAACAGAATTAGTGTACCACGTAAATGATACCTTCTCTGTTAACTGCAATGAAACATGCAAGCAGTGCAAAAGAAATGAATTTGGGAGCCTCCAGAAAGGAATGTCTGTCACTTTTCTCACAGCCTCAAAAATATGTGTCTGTACCTAACAACTGATAAATGATTTTCATGGCATCTTTGAATATTTTTGTCGACTTCTCAATTCTTGACCAAATATGAAATGCATAAGTAGCTAGGGAATACCGCCATATGTTGTCATATATGAGCCATTTGCTGTGGTTCCTGGTGTTGGGAGCGGAAAAAGAAGAAAACGTCCCGCTCGTCTGGATCTGGGGAAGACGTCCACTTTTGGCTGTCTGTCTTATTTTGCCTGCAATATAATAATATACTAACATAAAATTCTAAAATAGAACTTTAAAGATGGCCTAAAAATATAAGACTGCCTTTTATTCAATCTTAGTGGAATAACTGATTTGCCTGGTATTTTTTCATTACCTCATTCCTAGGCAACTCAGAAACTTAGTCAAAAGTAGCAAGTCCTGTGATCATTTGACGCTGGGCATAAATTTCCCTTAGCTCGTCATTCGGCATGGGATGCCACTGGTGTAGTACGTAAGAAAATACTACGCTAGAGAGAAGCTATCAAAAGTTTAATGCAGAAATGTTCTGTGAGATTACGTGTTAAATAAACCTCACAGAGCATGTGTGACATGCGTGACTTAAGACAACTCAAAGACGGAAGCGATCTTCCTTTTCTTCCTAGTGAATGTACTGATGTGGCCCCGCTACTCTCCGAAGCCTTTCTGCATCTGACGTAATTTTTCACTGCTTCCAAGATCGGAGGTACTTGATTTTATTTTCCCCCGTGTACGGGTGATTTTAACCAAGCTACGACAGCATGCGATGATTTGATACTGCCACATTATGGCGTGTGACGTCACAGCGATGTTGTAATGACGTTACAAATCTTAGCGATCTGAGACGTCACATGGTTCTGACTATGACTTTTTCCGTCACTCGTCTTTCGACGCCGCGGGACACCGACTGCCAAGTAGCACGTTTCACGAAAAACAGAATTTGGCGTCAATGGCGCAGTGTGAACAGGTTAACAGAGGCAGAGCTGCTCGTGCACCGCTGCACGAAATATCGGGGAACACCATCATGCCCAACTTTCTCTGTTTGCGCATTTATTCACGTATCATTTAGTTGCATAGGTTTTGTTTACGACTTGCTCAAAAACGGGCTGTAGAGTTCTGTCATCGTACTCTTACGAAATAAACGAAAAACTTACACGCATATCTCGGTGTTTTTTTTTTTTTTCTATCTCTCTTCTAAGTACTAAGTAAATATGTCTGCCACCGATATAAATGATAAACGGTTCTAAATCCCGTGGATAATTCAGTCTTTTTTTCTATAGCACGATCTCCCATGATGCAAGTAAATGCAGGTACTGCAGTGACAAGTCTGTAAATTATTTAAAGCGCCAGAGACCAGTGAGAACATTAAACATTCTAGGTTCGCGGCCGAGTGCCACCATTGATAATACGCAAGCGTAAACAGTGCTTACAGTTTTTGTGTGTGTGTGTTTGTCTTTTTGTATCTACTCTGCGCAAAAGATACTCGCAAAACTTTACACTTATCCTCGGTGAAATGGACTCCAGGGTGTTTATAGCAAAAAAAAACCGCGGCGCCGTTCATTTCATGAAAGTTCAGAACACCGGAAAGTATTTAAGCAACGTTGGTATTTAGCGAACATTTTTGCTCACCCGAACTTTGTAGTTAATGGTTCAGTGGAGCAAGATGGTGTATGTTTTCGTTGTTGTTTTTTTTTGCTGCAAGTTTTAAATAATTACTTGTCACGTTCTCTTAAAATTAATGGCACTAACGCCTGAAAATTCTTGGCATTGCTTCGCCATCTGCTATTCCCCTTCACCATAACGTATTTCGAACGTTGAACAGGGGCCATCAAAAGAGGGTTTAGAGATCTGGCTGCGTAGCCGGGAGAGTAGGATTATTTATCTATAGCGGAATGTTCGCTTTTTGAACTAGCTCCGATTCATTCACTTTTGTTGGAATACTACTTATGAAGGAAGACCACAAACTAAAAGGGCTTCCTTGGGTGAGAGAGAGCGTACACAGGAAACATACGAGTTGCATTCAAGCTAGGTTATATCTGAAGCTCTTCGCGCTGTGTTACGCAGCGCTGTTATATACCGCAGTTATTAACACGTTGCCGAACAATAGAACGATAATGTAAGCACAGCTCGTACTACTTACGTTTTATTCCTTCTGAAATATTTTATCTATCTGCATTAATCATTACATTATTACGAACCAAGCATACTTGGCACATTGCGTCAAAGTAGTTGTTAGTGCGAACTAAGTTATCATCACCAAATATGAAGCTATATAGCGAAGCTTGATTTCCAATTATAGAAGAGAAAAACATCGCTCTGTGGTTTTTTTATTGTAATAATTTGGATAGAAAAAACACATGCATGGGATGGAAGGATAAAAAAAAAACAATTTATATGTAGACTGTCAAAACAAAAGCTGTGCAGTGATGACAATAAAGAAAGGCTTAAGATTAACCGCCACATAAAAACCATTTCAACATTATCTTGTTTCAAATTCTCGTTATTTTTTTTAATTTTTCAGATAACTTGCAGTGAATTCATAGATCTTCAAACTGAATTGGAGTTATGTTATGCCACAGCTTTCGGTTCCAAAGTATGCCAACGTGACTAAACATACATTCCTATTTCTCAGACGTTGAAACTGTGGTGGCGCTTGGTCTTGCCGGAGCGTGTAGGTGGGTGTGAAACTGAGATAAAGAACTTCAACTTGACGCAATCCGAAGATAAAAAGTGCACGTAAAAAGCACTTATGTCTTCGCGTAGTTGTTAAAGAAGAGTGTCCCAACATGCTCGAGAATGCTTCCCTCACTGTTGCTGGAGAAAGTCGTTAAACATGCACCACTCATGCTCTTCTCTGCCACTCTCCGACAAAACTCACTTGAGGTCTGCTGGGATCATTGAAATGCATTGTGCGAATCGGGGTGCAATACGTGTTAGCAGCTCATCACTAAGCTATTTACCGCAGACTTACGAAAGAGCTGTGCGTTCAAACAATATTTCAGGCAGCGCAAGGATGTCTTATTTATTTATTTTATTTATTTAGTACAAACTGCGAACCATAAATGGTCCAAGCATGAATTATGATTCATTCCAGGAACGTTGGTCAGTTAAGCGAACGTACCATCTATCTGGGACGGGTCAACGTTGTTTCGTGGTGTTAGAGGTGGCGTTCGTGGCCCGCCAGCAGCCCATAAGCCACTTTGGATCATAACGAGCGAGCGCAGACACGTTGCTACCGCTTTTTTTTAGAGGGGTCACTATTTTAAACCAAAATCAGCGGGAAGATTTTAATGACAATTGCTTCCGCGTGCTGGAAACAATGGTTTTATTTTCTCGCGCTGATAGCTGCTAGACAATGCCTAACGAGCACATCACTGGGCCAGAACAATATATGTGCTTAATGCAACTTCAGTGTACCGCTTCGTCCCTAATTATCATACCATCCTTATTACGCGTCTCTATGACTTCGATAATACGCTTGGTTATATTTACATATACAGAAACTAAATCTGCGTTGTAATTTTCATGCTGTCTGATATACTTCGATTTTTTTTCTTTCGTCTTAGTGGTGTAGGTCACTAAATTAATTCATGAATCTGGACGCTGGGAAGATGATAATTTTTATACAATAAGTAAACCCGACGTTTCATATCTGTTCTGTTATTTCCTATTTACTCTGTTGCATATATGTTGCATGCATTCTTTCTTCCTTAAATGGTTTTTTTTTGGTGCTTACTTGAGCTTGTTTAAGTGTTCGTCATTTCTTTTCTCCTCCCTTCTTTCCTTCTTTCTTCCTTTCCTCTCTTCCCTCCTACATGAAACGGCGACACAGGCGTAGTGCCTCTGCACGTAGCAGTTCCCCTTTTCCTTTTGTCACTGTGCATCTGTCTATGCAAATCAAATAAATAATATATGGTGGTATATTTCGTTGTTTTTACTTAATGTGGGATCCGTGTGTGCTACTTCACTAATGGTGCTTTCTTTATTCATTTAGCAATGTTGTAGCAATATATGCTTACATTGCAGCAAGATGGCAAGTTGGGCCAGTCAGTTTTTGTTCATGTTTGGCAGACAAAAAGTTTCGTTAGAGCGCACCGAAAAACGTGCAGGAAAAGAAGAAGAAGAGAAGAAGAAGAAGAAGAAGAAGAAGAAGAAGAGAAGAAGCAGAAGAAGAAGAAAGAAGAAAAGAAGAAGAAGAAAGAGAGAAGAAGAAGAAGAAGAAAGAAGAAGAAAAGAAGAAGAAGAATAGAAAGAAGAAGAAGAAGAAGAAAAGCAAGAAGAAGAAGAAGAAGAAGAAGAATAAGAAGAAGAAGAAGAAGCAGAAATAAAAAAGAAAAAGCAGAAGAGCAGAAGGCAGAAAGAAGCAGAAAGAAAAGCAGAAGGAAAGAAGCAGAAGGAAGAAGCAAAGGAAGAGCAGAAAGAAGAATGCAGAAAGAAGCAAAGAAGCAGAAGAACGAGAGCAGAAGAAGAAGAGAAGAAGAAGAAGAGAAGAAAAGAAGAAGAAGAAGAAGAAGAAGAAGAAGATAAGAATAAGAAGAAGAGAAGCGAAGAAGAAGAAGAAGAAGAAGAAGAATAAAGAAAAGAAGAAGAAAGAAGAAGAAGAGAGGAAGAAGAAGAAGAAGAAGAAAGAAGAAGAAGAAGAATAAGAAGAAAGAAAGAAGAAGAAAAAGAAAGAAGAAGAAGTAGAAGAAAAGAAGAAGAAAGAAGAAGAAAGGAAAAGAGAAGAAAGAAGAAGAAAGAAGAAAGAAGAAGAAGAAGAAGAAGGAAGAAGAAGGAAGAAGAAGGAAGAAGAAGGAAGAAGAAGGAAGAAGAAGGAAGAAGAAGGAAGAAGAAGAAAGAAGAAGAAGAAGAAGAAAGAAGAAGAAGAAGAAGACAGTATAACGTGTTCTCGAACGAAACGTGCAGCGTGGCTGAACGTTGAAGCTTGCTCTCGGGGTGTGGCCAAGAATTAGGTAGCTGTGTTTGGTTAATTGATCTATCATCGCTTCTTAAACTGCAATAGCTGTTTGATGACTGTTTTTTGTGTAGTTCAGACAAGACAAGATGCCCTTATCTTCGCCAGGGCCAGGGACTTTTCTTTGGTTTGCTTCTACGGATGCGAAGGCGGTGCCAGTGGATCTTTCCTTGCGCAACGGAATAACATCGGTTCCAGTGGCTCTATTACCGACCAATGACGGCATCATTCGGATGAAAAACACGAAAATTATTTCGGTAGAATTATGGTTAGTGACGGCCAATTTTCAGTCCATAACGGAGGTCTGCCAGTTCAGTGACATATATTTTTTAAATCAAAAGCTACAGAGATATGTCAATATGCTGGAGAGATGGCTAGATGCAGTCTGCATGACCTTAAATGTAAATAAAAGTGCAGTATTGATATTCCCGTTATTCTCTCCCATCTCAATTTCAATATGTTATAAACAAGAGCCCATTCCGAAGGTGGAATCTCTTAAATATTTGGGAGTAATTTAAAATGCCAACCTAAACTGGACTCCCCACATAGAAAGCATGGCATCTAAATCACAACGCGCCTTAGGAATTTTTCGTAGACTGAGCAGCCGCCGATATGGTGTACGCAGAAGTACAATGGTGATGATCTATAAAATGTATATGCGACCAATCCTAGAATTCGGGTGCGTATTGTTCTCAAATGGCCCAGCTTATAAAATAAAGCCTCTGGTTATGCTGGAACGAGAAGCCTTGAAATTGTGTCTAGGACTTCCGAGGTTTGTAACAAACAATGTTTTGTATCAGGAAGCACGATTACCTACATTGCCTTGCCGTTTTCGTATCCTAACGGTTCAGACGTTTCTGAAATTTTATAGCTATGCGCCAAGACGATCTGAATATGATTTTATAAATGACCCAGACAGCTTTTTTCTTGCCCCTTGGCCACGCTTTCGAACACCTCAAATCGCTTTTGTCCCGAAACAACTAGATAGGTTAAATGTAAAAATTCGAGATGTGATTGCGGCGCAGGTTACAAATCAAATTTTTAAGATAGAATTCGATGAAATTTTTCCCTCTAAGCCCAAATTACAATTCTATAGGGTCCTAAATAGCCGACTGCAGGATTATCTTGCACACGCAGAAACGAATAATATTATAGCCACAGGTGCTTCAGTAATGGATGAAAAGACAAGTGTAGGTATATACTCCCATTCGCTTGACTGGTCTTTTTCATTAAGATTACCGTATTTCACCCCAGTTTTTGAAGCTGAGTTGTTGGCGATAGCTCTAGCGCTGCGAAAGCTACCTTTAAATGCCGCTGACGCGATCATAATCACGGATTCTCTGTCAGTATGTACGTCGATTACGGCGTCAACAAAATCGATGGCCTTAAAGACGCTCCTTATGCTAGTTCCTCCTCAGCTGCAGCTACTGAAATTAGTATGGGTACCCGGTCATTGCGGCTTAGAAGTAAATGAAATCGCCGACTCTCTAGCACGAACAGCATTGGAAGGGCCAGTACTATCAGTCCTTCCCAAAGTGGCCACTATAACTGCGACAAGATACAGAAAGCTTGCGCTGAGCGCAGACGCTATGGAAGCAATATTGTCCACACCAGAATTTACTCACTTAAGATTTCCATGGAAAATTCATTGGTGTCCAACAAGACAGTTGGAAACCATAATAACCAGATTTAGATGCCGTGTCCTCCCGTTAAATTTTTATTGACATAGGGCTGGTCTGGTGATATCACCACTATGCAGCTTTTGTTCAGAATTGGACACAATAGAGATATTTTTTATCATGTTGCCGATACAAATTGCTCAGGAAAACATTCTTAGTCCTCCCATCCGCTATCCTGGGGCTGAATTTCACTATAGAAAACATACTTTCCTTCGGTGCTTACGATCTGGGCTTCAGCCACGAGAACGTTTTCTATGCAGTTTGCAAGTACCTTAATGAAAGTAAAAGAATTTAGCTTTTAATTGCGTGATTACTATTCGTGCAAAAAAAAAACAACGAACACAAGAGCATTGTTTTACCATGCTGATTCTTATTCAAGGTAATGAATAATTGTCTTATCTGAGCGAGTGACAAACAACTATTGCCCTCCTTTCATTCTGCCTAGGGTGTCTTTTCTTTTTTCTTTCTTTTTCATGGTGGGTGGTTTTGTTATTGAAAAAAAAACCTTACCTAATTAAGTCATTGATTCTTGGCCAATCCCCCTGAGTGGGTACGAGCCATGGCTGTGGAATCATCATCATCATCATCAACAACAACGCTTTCAAGTCTTCTGCGTCTTGTCCATGTTTTTCGGTGCGCTTCAACCAAAGTCATACTTACTTGAAGACTCATAGCAGCGCAGCAAAATGTTTACAAAAGTTTCATATATAAAACTCTTTCGCCGTTCCTTTTGTCCACCCTTGTGGTGGTGGTTCTTGGCCTCTCAGACACATAAACCCAAGCCAAGGACAAGGTAAACATTTATTGACTTCACACACAAAACAATCGTCAACACTTTGGGTATCTGTACCACACACTGGCTCCATAACTCAGCCCCACAGTCCTCATGTCTACGCGCACGCGAGTAACCCACGCGTCCTCACTACTCGGAAGTCCAATTCCGTCGGGTGCCTCTCACGCTCCAGCTGAAGGCGATGGCGTCGACGACGCAACCTCGCCACGGGAAGGTTCCCCGGCGCACGGGAGCTCACGAGCAGACCATCAGCTGCTCGTGCTGGACCAGGTGGCCCCACGCTGCGGCCGACGCAATACCGAGGTCACACCTTCAATTGTCGGTTGTGCCGGACCGGCTCTGACGTGGCCACGATCTCGGTGACTGGTTGTGGCCAACCCGAGTCTGAACAGGATCAGCCGCTCGCCCTGACCCGAACGCTCGTCCGCCACAGGAACAGCATGTCAGGCCCGGCCCGGAACCGCCACTCGCCTCAGTAACACGCCACGCTCATCCCGGCTGGGTTGGACACACCGGCTCGTCCGTTCGGTTCCCTGAGGCCCAACGCCTAGCGCTCTTACTAGCTGGCCGAGTTCTCTCTCAGCCCGTCGCTGTTGCCAAGCTCACGCACTCACGTTCATCTGACCCCGCGCACACCTTCGTCTTCGTCGGTTGTTTTTCGCTATCGGTTTTACTTGCAGTTTCGGTTTCTTACTACAACCATCCATGCAGAGCTGCTGACACACCATCGGCTTCAAATCGGCTTTAGGTAATATTTTTTTGTGAGCTTGAGGTTCTGTATACATTTCAAACGCAATAGCAAAATAGTAGGTGGGGAAAATGAAAATAGACCAACATCAGCGCATCGGATTAAGCCCAAATGCTCCTGAAAAACCTACCGTAAATTCAATACAGAACGATTTTCTTATCTGTGGAATGCTAAGAAGCGGGAATTTTGCGATAAAGGAAGGCAAAAGGAAGCCTTAGACTGTCAGCTGTGAAAGTCGCGTTCTGTAATCGCATTTTAAAGGCTTAGCGAAATTCGTTTCAAAGACTTTCTGGAGTAGATCAGCCGCGGCGGGCTGATTAAATGAGTTCGGCTCACAGAATCAGATGGAGGTGCCTTCGTTCTATCGAGATAAACATATACTCTAATGAAATTTGAGTCCAAAGTTATATTAGTATAACGGAAACTAAGCTGCTCAATGCGTGGTAGATAAGTGACCGCCAATGCACGGGAATCCAATTCACAACTTACTATTTCCCTCCTTCGACAACCTACCCTACGTGGGTTGTGTATGCATCGAAAGACATAACAAGCTGAGAAATAAGTCATACGTAGTGTACACGTTCGCAGGTTTTAATTCACTAGCTCTGAAATGGGTAAGAAATTAACTAACTGTTACACAAAAAAACCAATACGTGAACACACGACAGACTCTTATAGTTTGAAAATATTTCCTCCATCTGTTACATATATGCAAAACCACTGAATGGGGTTACTTTCATTGTTCCTTTACTTGCTAGTTTGCACATCATATACATACATGCAACGTTTTAGCTTATAATTTCTCGCTAATTGAAAATAGGGAGTCACGAAAAAAAAATACTAAAGCACAAGTACTTATCTCCCTTATATAAAGCAGAAAATGCTGTGTAAGAAACTTGTGTTTTATGATGAGGCTATTTTGAGACACTAAACAAGTGATAATATATTGGTTGCACGCTTCGATCGCAGCCTCGCAACTTGAAGTT